CCTGAAGCTCATTTGTAATATGTTTATATGAGTCAGATGATGTTTTTTCATTATTAACTGAGCATAAAGCCCACCATCGAGAATGCCATTATCAACACCGAGTGATATGGAATGATCGGTAAATGTTCCAAATATTCCAAAAAAAAAGTAACATCTATCCATTTGTCGTTTGCGTCTTAGGTGAATACTGTGTCATCTGTTTTATAGTAGTGTGCTGCAGGCCCCACTCAAACATAGTTTAATGAAATTCATTTGTTCTATCCACATCAAACGTTAGTTTGTTACTAGATACTGTGAAATATAAATCGTTGGAAACTGCATATTTTGATCTTCACTCTAGGAATTTGGTTTCCTTTTTATTATCATAACCCATTACATAAATAATAAAGTATACAGGTACAAATACCGATGTTGCTTGTTTAACACCTCTCACATATGATTTTGATATTTGCAATAAATATAGCTAAATTGTAAAAATTGTACTGTAAACATATTGTAATCAGCAGACATCGGTTTTTTAAAATCAGTTTTCAGTAAATTGTGTGTCTGTGTAACCAGATATATATTATTCGGAGCATCGTCAGCATCAATTGGCATGGCTAAAGAGACTTTTTAATTATAAGCCATATCGAGATCAGTAGCCTTGCAGTCTTTCCATCAGACCCAAAATCTCCTTTCTCACGTTTGTCACCTTTTAAACCCTGGAAATGATCAAACTAGCGAAAACAATAAGAGTGCACAAACTGTACAATCTCAAATGTTCGATGTAGTTCAAATTCTTAAAGGTTAGTTGGGTTACCCGAAATAAATGCATAACTAGCTTAATAGCATCAACTTCAACTGCACAATCAAGCTTAATTGGTGAAACTCGTTACATAGTCAGAGTAGCTTAAATGGGTAAACTGGTTAAATAGTCAGACTAAGGAAGACACTTGGTTATCAGGAAATAATAAGTATTATATGAGAAAGCCAGAGAAAAATTACCACACGTTAATAACACAAAATCACTGATATCTGGTGAAAATGCCCTAAAAGCCCTAAATAATTTTACTATCTTACATAGTTAAACAACTTAACATAGATTGTGCAGTTTCTACAATGGAACCATTTAATCTAGTATGCATTTTTAGCAGTTAAACAATTTGTGCAGTTGAACCAATTCATCTACCTCAACTAAATAAGAAAGATTTTTCAATCTGTGCAGTTCAAATGTCTTACCTGGATTGACTATTTTACAAGTCAAATCGATTAAAATTGTATACCTATTTTCAATACTTCAAGATACTTAACTAAATTGTGCAGTTATATATGTGCGGTTTTGCTCAGGTTTAATTAGTTTAACTCATTAGGATAATTAAACTAGATTAATTGGTTCACATGATTAAGTAGTCGAACTAGTTGAACTTCATAAATAACACAATGCATCTTTATGGATTGAACAAGTTTAAAATGGTCGAACTACCCTATATGACAAAATGGTGCTAGCTTAATTGGTTGAACTGGACAAAGTGCATACCATACTTTTGCATTTTTTTTAGTTGAACCGTTAAAGCTAGTTTGACTAAGTGAACTACTTCCACCAGCTAAGATAACATATTGACCAGCTCCCAGTTAGCTTGTTAGCTCAGTTGATAGAGCGCTGCACCGGTATCGTAAAGTTCATGGGTTCAAATGCTGTAGGGGCCCGATTTTTTTTCAGGTCCTATTTTCAACTAGTTCAGGAGTGTTGTAAGCTGCGAGGATCTCAAAATTCGTAATTAAGATAAACCGTGCAATTTGTGCAGTTTCACTGTGTTACCTAGTTTGACCATTTAATGTGTTTAACCAATCAGGCTTGATTTTATACAGTTGGTGGAGTTGATGATATCAAGCAAGTAATGCATTGTTTCCAGTTAAACAAGTTAACCTAGTGTGAGCATTTGAACATCGACCATTTGAGATAGATAGTGTAGTTTGTGCAATATTACTCTTTTTGTTTGTTTGATTCTTTACCCAGTTTAACCAGTTAAACTGATTGCGAAGTTTGTGCTAATGACCTTATAAGACTTGTTATGCATTTTGTCTTCTTGAACAATATAAGCTAGTTTTATCATTTATTCTAGATCGACCAGTTAAGATAGCTTGGGCAATTTGTACTGTTTAACTCTTTTTGATACTTGTATTATCTGGTGAAATAGTTAAGCCACAAAAGATAGCTAAATACACAAACTTAACAATTCTATCTCCATGCATAACTAGGTTAAATAGTTCAAATGGCAAAATAGTCAAACTATTGCAAACAGTATAACTGCACAGCCTACAGAATCTATGGCAAGTTGTAAGATTAGTTCAAATGGTCAATAAAGCTGAAATTGTTCGAGTGGACAAAATTCAAAATTAGCTGGAATGGTTAGACTAAACAAAACGCATAAGTAGCTGGCTCAACCAGCTAAATTCAATTGAGTGACAACAGTTGAACTGTTCAAATTTCACAATCGACAAAAATTTGGCATTATTGGTTAAATGCTTTCACGGAAAAAATGCATAACTAGCTTAATGCGATAAACTGCAAAAACTGCGCAATCTTGGTTGATTGGTTGGGGTAATTCACATGGTTTAACTAGCTGCTTCAAATGAACAAAGTGCACAACTAATGCAATCCATGTAATTGTACAATTTTAACAATTTTTTAACAAAAATTTAAAGGAAATGCTTTAAGTATTTAAAATGGATTAAACCATTTGAATTGATTCCCCGGTTAAATTGTCAAATAAGCCAAGGCAGTTAAACTGCACAGAGTGCAAAATAGTTGTCAATTGGCCAAAGTAGTTGAAATCGTCAAAAAAGCTGATATGCCTCAATTAGACAAAAAGCATAAATATCTTATTCAGTTCAACTACTCAAACTGCACAATCTAGCTTCAGTGGCTCAATTCTCAAGTAGCTAAGATGGTAAAACAGCTTAGGGTTAGGATTAAATAGCTTACATGGCTTAAATGCCTTAATGGTCAAACTAAAAATTGTAAACGGCAGAAAACTAAGACAGCTGAGGTTGTTTAATTGCCTCATGTGGACAAAGTCTATCAACAACCTAAATCAGGTCAAATGGTCTAAGCGATCAAACAAGCAAAAACGGTAATGTGCAAACAAAAAAACTGGAGAAATGAACTTGTTTGCAACTGAATTACGTTTTTCCTAGATGTGTCACTTCAAATAAGTTTTTGTTGCCTGTTTGCGGCTAATTGCATTGATTTTAGCTTTATTCCACTAAATACAACATTCCAGTGACTTTTATGGCCAGGTTTTTATTTTCTCAGCTTTTTGGCACAGAAAAAGCTAAATTAGGCTGTTCTGGGCTTGACCTCACGAAAAGCACCGTTATTTTTTCTTGCTAACCTTCGCTGTTATTATCTTTAGAGCACTGAAAATATGTTCTCGTTGCTTTGTCGCTAATTTTACGCTGTTTACACTTTGATCGTACTGAAGACTAAGTTTTAAGCTCCTATGCGACGAAATTACGTCTTTTTCACGTTTATCTCACCAAAAACATTTTCCGCTTTTTTGCCGCTGAATTGAGTTGGTTTAAGCTTTATCATAGCAAAAAAAGGTTTTTATCCCATTTTTAGCCACTCATCCTGATGTTAGCCAAACAACGGCTTTTCCTTTTTACTGCTAAATTAAGCGGTTTTTAGGTTTCTACAACCGAACATATGTTCGAATTGGACTTCACTCGCTCCTATTACTGTTATGTATGTCACCCAAAAGATGATTCCGTTTGCTTATCGCTAAATTTACGCTGTTTTAGTTTCATCTCACTGAAGACTAAGTTTCCTGCTTCTATGCAGCTAAATTACGTCCCTTTTAGATTTATCCCACTAAAAACGTTTCTCCGCTTGTTTGCCACTGAACTGAGTTGTTTTTAGCTTTATCACGGCCAGAAAAGGTTTTCCGCCCTTTTTGTGCTATCACCCTATTTAACCTTCAAAGGTAACTGGTGTAGCGGAGAAGACAATCCAAACGCAGAATATAAATCACGATTTTATCCAATGAAGTAAGTAATCAAAATTACAGACGAAAATAAGGAGATCAGTGTGAAATCACAGAAGAAGAGGGCGAAGGAAGATTGTAGACAGCGTAGTTATGATTAATGGTAATGTAGCTGAATTTGTGTGGTTCGAATTGAAGGAAGCAGAAACTAAACTAGGAGAGTATTCCTCAGAAATGTAACACTAGCCTTATTAACCATGAAGCGATTATAGAGTGAACTGAAAGCAAGAAATAACTCAATGTAGGTATGAAAAAAAAGGAAACATCTTAAATGTGAAATAAAGAAGAACTTATCTTCGTCTGGCTCCTAATGATTGTACACAAATCGCCGATAGCGGATCGTACGTGAATAGCAGACAAAATTAGTGGTGTTGACAGCAACTTATGGCGATGAAATATGAAATATAATATCTGGTACATGTGCCAGTACATGAAACTGATTGAAAAAATACTTAGTAAATAATAATCATTATCCAACGAAGAAATAATAGACCGTAACAAACCTAACAGAAAAGTACAGAGGTTACGCGTTTCGAAACTAACATTCCGGCCCCTTTAAAGGCTTGAAGAACTCATTGCCTTTGACTAATCATAACCCGTGGTTTAAAACGCTTTGGACCAAAAAACAAAACTAAATGTCAATAAAATAAGATATAAGATCAGTTCTCGTTCTCAGGAGATCACTGTTCAGGAGGCTGCCAACAGCACGATCTTGCCGATGTGACGCACAAAAGCCGAAGATTTCGTTCTGAGCTTTACACTTCTCAGCAGGCCGTCACTCTGATTGGGGAAAACGTCCAGTATGCGTCCAAGAGGCCAGGAGCTTCTAGAAGTGTTCTCATCCAACGTGAGCACGACATCGCCAACAGCAAATTTACGTGAAATGTGGCTCGATTTCTCCCTTTGTTGGAGTGAGGGAAGGTATTCCCGCGTCCACCGTCACCTAAATATATCAGCCAGGAACTAGACATGTCATCACGTCTGTCGTGAATAGCAGTCCTCTTTGGGGAAGATACCTGGAAGACGGGCAGGTCCCGAGCAGAGGAGTAGAAGATGGTTCAGAATCAAGGCCTCGGGATCTCTGGGGTCGTCCGACACTTTAGTTAGGGGGCGCCCATTTATAATAGCCTCTACTTCCCACAAGATTGTGGCAAGACTTTCTTCATCCAAGGGTTGCTTATTAAGGAGAGCCTTCGTAACTTTACATACTGTGCGAATACAGCGTTCCCACACTCCTCCATGGTGTGAGGCAGAGGATGGGCTGGAGATCCACCTCATGTTCTTCTGGAGAAGGAATGCATGAACCATCTCTTGATTCCGTTGAGGAATCGCCTCTTGCAAGTCCTTTTGACCCTTTACAAAATTGCCCTCATTGTCAGACGTGATCTGTTTTGGTTTTCCCCTTCTTGCGATGAATCGTCTTAATGGATTTAGGATGGAGTCTGTATCTAGGGTGTGGACAATTTCAAGGTGAATTACTCGAACCGTCATGCAGGTGAATAATACGCCATACTTCTTAGTGGTACTCCTGGCTCTTTGCACTACTAAGGACCAAAAAACAGTCCACGCCCACGTAATTGAATGGAGGTTCAGAAGGGATCACTCGATCTGCAGGTAGGCAAGCCATTTTCTGTTGGCCTGCTGTAGCTTTTTTTTTCCTGCAATAAACATAGGAGCGTAGGATGCGTCGCAGCAAAGTTCTTGCGTGTACTATCCAGAGCTTCTCCCTAATTAAGGAAAGAGTGTGCAGACCAGAATGGCTTAGCCACAAGTTGCTCGGCAACTTTTCGGCAACTTTTGCGATTAGAAAAACAGTCAAATACGATGCGAACTTTTCCTGACTTGTCTGGGTGAGACACAGCATGGTAGGGAAGGTCAAAGTCTTTCGTGGAACTCCGATAGTTTGGGCCGTCTTCACATATTCCTTCTGAAGAAGGTCATCTCTACAGGCTGTGTCCTTCCTTCGCATATCTTGATCCCTGAACAGAGCCTGTGTTGGGAAGGGCTTCTATTATTCTCGAGACAGGGTGGGTCGTCCTTCCATGGCAACGTGATTGTGTAGTGGCCATCTTGCAAAACAGCATTTTCTTGCATGATTTCCAAGGCGCGTTTGGTAGCCTTGGCCTTATAAAAACATATGGTAACTCGACAGCATTCTCCACCTCAAGATCCATTACTTGAAGGCTACCAACCTGTGAGGTACTTCTACTTTTTTCTCTTTCCATGGTAGTCAAGGTCAAGGGTATCGAACGCCCTGATAGCCCAAGCTGCGTAGCGAGTTTCTCTGAGGAGAAGGAGGCGTTAGATCCATTGTTCAGGAACGGATACGTTTCCACAATCAAATTACGGTCCGGTGCTTTCACCCTAACTAGCAAGGGGTTCTGATTTCACCTCGGTTGAGGGACAGGCGGGTTGCTTTGCGGTAATTGGATTAGCATCGTGATCTATTTGGGAATTGACTTTTGGCACCACATCTGTGTTGTTATGTTTGGTCGCCGGATCTTCGATACGGTCTTCGACTTGTATGTAGGCAAGTTCTTCAGCTTGAGCCTTTGCGATTTTTGTTTGAAGCTCTAAGGCTTCCTTTTCATTTGAAGAGCAAGTTCTTCCTTTTGTAATGTCTGCCACCTTTCCAGACTCGTAGCTTCTGCCTGTAAAATAGCTCTTCTAGCAACAGCGCGAGAACCAACGTTACTAGTGGAGTCCGAGGGACTAACGTGATCGACAACCTCCCGGAGATTCGTATCCGCGGGAAGACCAAGTCGGTTTCTTTTGACGCGACCACTCAGCACGAAATTTCACTCGCGAGTCGCTTATTGTTTTGTCCGATCACTCTGAAATACTCATCGATGTCGCATGCATGTTCTAGTACATCGTGGTAGCGTGAGCGCTTACAAACTCTTTGAAGGCTTTCTTTAATTGCTCAAGTTTCTCTTTTAGTACGGACACGTTCGCTTGATCTTTCATCAACTCTCTTATCTCTCGCTGAACTTTGGTAACAACACCTTTTTTACAGCCTATTGCTTCCTTTAGGTTCTTCCTTCCTAAGTTTTCTGCGTTGATTCCTTGCCAATCGAATCTGCGATTCCTTTCTCTAATTTTGCCGCGTTGTTTTTCGCTAAGTTCATCGATTTTGTCGGAACCGCCCTCGTCCATGATTACTTCGACGACGTGGCGAAAGTTGATATGTGGCAGCTTAGTAGGTTGATTACATAGATTACTCGAAGAGTAGAAGTCCAAAATCGAACTGATGTAACCTTCAAAGGTTACTAGTGTAGTGGAGAAGACAATCCGAACGCACAATAAAATCACGGTTTAATCAAATGAACTACATAGTCAAAATTACAAACGAAAATACGGAGATCGGTATGAAATCACAAATGAAAAGGGCGAAGTAAGACTGAAGATAGCATAGTTATGATTGATGGAAACGTTATAGCTTAATTTGTGTGGTTCGAATTAAAAGAAAATGCAGCAGAAACTAAACAAAGAAAGTATTCCTCAGAAATGTAACACTAGCCTAATTAACAATGAAGCGATTACAAAGTGAATTGAAAGCGAGAAAATAACTCGATCTACGTATCAAAGAAAAAGGAAATATCTTAAATGTGAAATAAACAAAAACTTACCTCGGTCTAGCTCCTAATGATTGTAAATAAAACGCCGATAGCAGATCGTACGTGAATAGCACAGAAAATTGGTAGTGTCGACAGTAACTTATAGCTATGAAATATGAAATATAATATCTGGCACATATGCTTAAATGAAATTGATAGAAATAAAAAAAGCTTATTAAGTAATAATCATTAAATAATATAATAGACCGGAACAAACTAATAGAAAAAGAACACAAGTTACGTGTTTCGAAACTAACACCCTAGTGTTAGCTAGACAATAGTTTTTCCTTTTTCGCTGAAAAATCAACCAGTTCTTAGCTTTCTAGCTTCTTTGCTCATTAGTTACGCTGTTTTAGCTCAAGTGCATTGAGTGACTTACAACTAGGAGTAATCCTTGAGGTCTGGTGGCTATCAGAGTAAGGTCGTCCAGTGCTATTACGACAAGAACCAGGGTTATAGCTTGAACGTCTCCACACATCAATAGATATTCCACATCGTGTGTAACACACGAATTTGAATAATAAATCGTCCTGGCCTGGTGAAATCTTCTTCTTCAGGCAGAAAGGAAAAGGGAAACGTTCAGCTCATCCACAACCTTTTTGGCTGTGATAAAGCTAAAAGCAGCTCATTTCACCTGCAAACAAGAAGAAAAACGTTTCCGGTGAGATAAATCTGAAAGAGATGTAATTTAGCTACAGAGCAGCTTAAAACTTAGTCTTCAGTGAGATAAACCTAAAAGCAGCGTAAATTTAGCGACAAACAAACGAAAACATCTTTTTAGTGTCATAAATAATGGTAATAGGACTGAGTGGAATCCAATGCGATCTGTGGTCATACGAGTGATTAATAAAATCGGAGGACCACGAAGTGGGCGTCCGATTTTTTTATCACGTGCATGCCTACAAACAGAGCTGGACGACAAGAAATCTGGTTACCATTTAATCATAACCATTTCAGTTTCCGAAAATACACCTAGAAAAAACATCTTCAGTTGAGACAATGTCTTTAGTTAAAAATTCCTCCATTTTGGAAACTGCCTAGTTTTTCTTTGGCTATTATGATCAATTCTCTGATTGGCGGATTTGGATGAGTGGGCCTAGTTTGATTGGCTGCTTCAACTGTCCGATTACAGGTATCCGATTACAGTCAACTGTTTGATTACCCTGTTCGATTACAACTGCACAGGATGATTAGCAAAATATTAAGCTGGGAAAGCACCAATAACAATTGAAGAATTAGTAATGGTTATGATTAAGCTGAAAACAGCTTAGTTTAGTAACAAAGGGAAAATGTTGCTTTTCGTGAGTTAAAACCCAGAAAAGCTGAAAAAAAAAAGTACATGTTCTCGGTGCGGAAAAGCTGAGAAAAGCATAATTTGGCCACATAAATCATTAAATGAGCGAAAATCGGCGTGGTTGGCTGCAAACAGGCAAAAACTTTTTTAATGCCACACAAGTAAAAAGACCGTAATTCAGTAGCAAACAAGTCAATTCAGCTAGTTTGTTTAGGTTTTTTTGGTTTCACTGTTTTTGCCTGCTTGATCACTTAGACCATTTCAATCAATTCAGCTTGTCGTTGAGTTTTGTCAAAACGATAAAGTAGCAAAATTGCAAAATCTTTTTCCACCGGTTAGAATTGTTCAAATGATTAAACTACCTAAAATTGTTCAAAAGGACAAAATACATAAGCAACTTAATAGGTTCAACTGGACAAACTTTTCAATCAAGCTTAGTTGGTTGACCTGGTTAAATAATCAAACTGGCGAAAACAGTGAAACTGCAGAAATTTCACAATCTATATTGAATAATTTAAGTCGTTAACGTGATCAAACTAGCTGAAAAGATTTAATTAAACGAAATGCTCCCCTACCTTAAATGGTTTAACTGCACAACTTACTTTAGTTGAGCTAGTGAAAATAGCCAAAGAGGCTTGCTGGGTTATAGAGCTTGATTAGTTTACCTGGTTTTAATAATCAAACTTGTTTTAGTTTTAAGTACTTCAAGCAATTCAGCTGGATTCTGCACTTTGTGCCGTTTTTTCAACCACTGTAGACATATTGTACAATTTTTTTCAGTTGACCTTGAATCGATCGTCAGACCGTATTTTAGCTAAATTTTTCAAATTATGCAGTTGAATGGATTACGCTGGTTATGGGCTTCGTTCAGTTGAAAACAGTTGAACCGGACAAAGTGCATATCATACTTATATATTTTTAGTCAAACCATTTAAGCTACTTTGACTGTGTGAACCACTTCCAATTAAGGTAGATTTTGGAATTTGTGCATTTTTGCTCAGGTTTAATTGGTTTAACTAGTTAAGATAATCAAACTAGATGGATTGGTTCATATGATTAAGTAGTAGTATTAGTAAAAACATTCAACTTCACAAATAGCACAATGCATCTTTATTGGTTGAAGTAGTTTAAAATGGTCAAACTGTAATTGCTCGATTGATACAGTCAGTGAAACCATTTAGACTACTTCCTGGCTTTGTCCAGTTTAATCAAATCAGCTAATTCTGATTTTTCTTGTTCCGAATGGAATTTTTACTTGGTTTAACTAATTAAGTTATTTTGATCATTTCAACCTCGTAAACAAATTTGCCTACATTTTGCCGTTGTGCACTTCAAGAATCAAGCAGTTTAGCTGTCTTCCCTAGTTTCACTTTTTAACCAGTTCAACTATTTAAGCCAGTGATGCATTTTGTCCGGTTGAACCATTGACCCTAGTATAGCCATTCGAACAACTTTAACCAATTAAGATCGACTGTACAATTTGTGCAGTTTAAGTGTTTCAGCTAGTTTGACTATTTAACGAGTATAACCAATTAAGCTTGATTGTGCATTTGGTGCAGTTGATCCTATCGTTAGTTGTG